GGAGGGGTCGCTATGAGTCGGGCCGACTCGACGGCACTTAACAACAACAACAACAAGGGAGGCTCCAAGGAGCTCTGGTAGTGTAGTGCCTAAGGCGCTTGATTACTAACCAGAAGCCTGGCTGTTCAAACCCACCAGCCACTCCTCGGAAGGAAGGTTGAGCAATCTGCTTCCGTAGAGATACCGCCTCGGAAACCCGAGGGGTCATTATGAGTTGAGATCGACTTGGTGGCAGTGAATTTGGTTTTTGGTTTAGGGGAGTCTCCAGGGGAGAAAGATTGCCCCAGATAACAGCCGGGAGGGGCCTTCCCAGGACCTGTGGGCTGCAGGGGGTGCCTGGAGGCCTGAAGCCGGAGGAAGCAGCCAGCTGGGGGTGGGGGAGTGGGAGGAGGTGGTGCGGAAGCCAGAAGAGGTCTGAGGCAGCAGGGATCTCAGCGCAGATGCTGGGGAGAGGCTTGGGGTGTTCAGGGAGTGGCAGGCCCTGAGGGTGGATCTACCCTTTTACACCAAGGCCTGTGTGGAAGTGCCTCAGCTGCTGGAGGAGGCCGTGGAGGCAGAAGGTCCTGGGGGTCCCGGCCTGGCCCTGGCTGCCCTCCTAGACCATGTCCAGGGTGGTGCCTGCTTCCACGCCCTGCCCACCCCGCAGTACTTCGTGGATTTTGTATTCCGGCAGCATACCAGTGAGGCCCCCAACATCACGCTGTCTGGTGAGGCCCAGGGCCAGTGGTGCGGGAGGCCAAATCCGGGCCCATGCTGATGTGTGACGGCCATCGGCTGTGTCCTTCTGTCAGAGCTGGCCACCTTGATGCAGCACCTAGGGGTGGGTGGAGAGGCAGAGGCTCACGGATTCCAGGATCATGAAGACCACAGTGGCCACAGCCACCTGGGCAGAGGGGCCATGGGGAGCCACAACCACCAGGGCCCTGTGCCCCTTGCCACCCCCAACAGCAGCTCCAGCGTGTGGGACACGGTGAGCACACTGTGGGCAGGGGTCCTGGGAAGGTGGGCTCCATAACTCTTCACAGCCCCTGACATCCCACCCTGTCACCCAGGTGTGCCTGAGCCCCGGGGACGTGATGGCCGTGTATGGGCTGTCAGAGGAGGCCGGGGTTGCCCCCGAGGCCTGGGCCCAACTCAGCCCTGCCCTGCTTCAGCAGCAGCTGAGCGGGGCCTGTAGCCCCCAACACAGGCTCTCCACCCAGGATCAGCTCAGCCAGGTGGAGAGTGAGTGCCCTACCCCAGCTGTGCCTACCCGGCCATGCTGGGGTGCTGGCAGCATGGGCAGTGTTGCCCGCTTGGGAGAAGTGGGTGGTGGGGAGAAGACACTGAGTAGACAGAGGGGTCATGAGCCCTGGGGAAGGGTGGGAGGGACTGGGGGTAGAAGGAGGCTCTGGAGAGAAGGACAAGGAGGAAAGAGGGAAAGAGCTTTCAGCAGGAGGATCACTGTGAGCAGAGGCCTGGCCTCAGGTGCCCTCCCCTGGCCCTCACTCCCACCCCCTCCAGAGTACCTGTACAGCTCGCTGGCCACACTGCTCATCTGCCTGCTGTCGGTGCTGGGCCTTGCGCTGCTGGCCTGCACGGGCTGCCCTGTCATCACCCACTACACCATCCAGACCTTCCTCAGCATGGCCGTGGGCGCGCTCACTGGTGACGCCCTCCTGCACCTGACGCCCCAGGTTGGCCCTGACCCCCTCACAGGATTCCCCCCTCCCCATCCTCTCCCAGGGCATGGGGTCCACAGGTGGGGAAAAGGGGGGCCCTGAGATGCCCTCTGACCCAGCGCCTCCTCCCCCAGGTGCTGGGGCTGCACAGCCACGACGAGGAGGGTCTCAGTCTCCAGTCTACCTGGCGCCTCCTGGCTGTGCTTGGCGGCCTCTATGCCTTCTTCCTGTTGGAGAACCTTTTCAACCTGCTGCTGCCCCAGAACCTGGAGGTCAGGCTCGGCTGGGCCCTTGGAGTGGATGGGTAGAAGGACAGGTGGGCAGAGATGGGGAGTGGAGGGCCTGAGCTGCTGTCCCCGCAGGATCTGGAGAAGGGCAGGTCCTGCAGCCATGGCCACAGCCACAGCATGTCCCTGCAGCTGAAGCCCAGCCAGCCTCAGCCTTCCAGACAGCCCCAGGAGGGCTCGCAGGCCGACCTGGTGAGCCTGCACCTTAAGGCTAAGGCCCGCCCCACCCGGTGACCTACTACCCTGGCCTCCAGTGCTGCTCTGGGGACCTGCCCCCACCCCTACTCACCTCCCCTGCCCCAGGCTCATGTACATGGACCCCCCTCCAGGTGGCCGTGGAAAGCCCAGACCTGCTGGGCCAGGAGCCTCGGAAACTGAACTCAAGTAAGTAAGCACTTGGGAGGCCTAGGGGTATTGGCACCTGGGCTGGCCAGCCGAGTGCTGTTTGGTGTGGACTGCAGGCTTGGGAGGTGGGAGGGCGGGCCTGGGGATGGGGTCCCCGTGAGCACGGACCAGCCCAGCCGTGCTCCCACAGATTTGCGCCTGCTGCCCTACGTGATCACACTGGGCGATGCCGTGCACAACTTCGCTGATGGGCTGGCGGTAGGTGCCGCCTTCGCATCCTCCTGGAGGGCTGGACTTGCCACCTCGCTGGCTGTGTTCTGCCACGAGCTGCCTCATGAGCTGGGTGAGCGTTGTGGGGCAGGGCTGGCCTGGGGCAAGGTAGGGGGTACCTGGGGCAGCCCAAAATGGGGGCATACCTGGGGCTGGGCCTCTGGGGAGGGAAGGGCAGGGTCCACCTGGGGGTGGGGCGGGGCATCCTTGGCCTGAGCCCCTCTCCTCCCCTAGGGGACTTTGCAGCCCTGCTGCATGCGGGGCTGTCTGTGCGCCACGCGCTGCTGCTGAACCTGGCCTCATCGCTCACGGCCTTTGCTGGCCTCTTTGTGGCGCTGGCAGCCGATGTTGGTGAGGACAGCCAGGCCTGGATCCTGGCGGTGGCCATCGGCCTCTTCCTCTACGTGGCACTGTGCGACATGGTGAGGTGGGGCAGCAGCGGGTGGGGTGGGTCTGGCCCGGGACTCATGGCTGGGCACGGACCGTGGGGCCCGAGCTGGCGGCTGACCAGGCCCCTCTGCTCCCCAGCTTCCCGCCATGCTGCACGTGCGAGACCAGAGGCCCTGGCTGCTCTTCTCCCTGCACAACTTGGGCCTGCTGGGTGGCTGGACCATCCTGCTGCTGCTGGCCATGTACGAGGACAGAATCTCCCTCTGATCCCATTTTGGGCTTTGGTTCTGACCTGCACCCTGGGCTGCCTGGCCCCTGCCACACCTACAGCCCAGGAGCCTTAGAAGGGCTCCTTCTACTGCTCAGCCCCCAGCTTCAATAAAGATGCACCAGCCCTTGGAACAAGGCCTGGCCTCCTCTATGGGAGGGAAAGGTCTGGGGGGGGCCTTTCCCTCCCTCCCTCCCAGCTCTGCTGGGGCCCTTGACTCTCTTGTCTCTTGTTCTGTTTAGGACACCAACCCAAACCCCCTTCCCTGGAGTCAATTCCTACGCACAGCGCCCCTAGAGGACAGAGTGGAACTGCCCACAGGGTCTCCAAGGCTGTCATCTTTACAGAAACAAAGCCCAACCCAAACCCACTGCCCTGGAATCTATTCTGACCCACAGCACCCCTAGAGGACAGAATGGAACTGCCCACAGGGTCTCCAAGGCTGTCAATCTTCAGGGAAGCAAAGCTCAAACCACACCCACTGCTGTGAATCATGGGGCCCATCATACTCCAGTATGACCTCATGTTCACAAAAGTAATTCCATCTGTAATGACACTGTTTCAAACAATGCCACATTCCGAGGGACTGAAGTCAGGACGCCAACATATTTTTGACATAATTCACGCCCTGTCACCTCTCATGATCCAGAATGGCTGCCAGAGCTCTAGTCATCGCACACACCTTCCAGGCAGCAGGAAGGACGTAGGAGGAAAGTAAACAGGGTCAGGGTGTAAGGAAGTTATCAGGTCCAGTGTCTCATTCAGCCAGCACCCAAGCACCCGAGGGGACAGTCAGGTCAGCCACCTGGCAGGCTTTGTGTGTCCACCTGTGCTGGAGCAGCTGGCAGAGAAGGCTCACCTGCCGGGGCAGGAAGGACCATGTCTTTTATTTTTAAATTTTTATTGTGATTTGGGTGAAAGTTTACAGGGCAAATTCATTTTCCATACAGCAGTTCATACACATTTTGTGTGACATTAACTGCAATTCTCCACAATGTAACAGCTCCCCTCCCACTTCCTCCCCATAATTATTTCTTCCTTGTGCCCTTCCCTCTCAGGCACTCCCGCCCCTTAAGCTATCTCCCTGTGCGAACACTGCCCTTCTGTTCTCCCATGATTGATTGCTCCAAGGAGTGTGTCTATCTGATGTAAATGTTCATCCCATATGCCTATCTATTGTTTGGCTGGAAGCCACAGGCGTGAGTTCAGTTCCAGACCTGAAGGGTAACTATGGGCCATAGTCTCAGGGGTCTCACCAGGTTCTATCAAACCAGTAAACCTAGTCATTTTTCATGACTTGAGTTTTGTTCCACATGGTTCTCCCACTCTATCCAGGATCTCCTGCACTGATCCCCCTCCGAGTGGTTGACAGTGGTAGCTGGGCACCATCTAGGTCTTCTGGTCTCATAGTCATACAGGCTGAGGATCGCATGGTGTACCAGTCCCTTGGACTAATTGTTTCCACGCATCTTTGGTTTTCTTTTTTGCTCTGGATGAGGAGAGACCCATCATAGCATCTAGATGGCTGTTGCAAGCTTTTAAGATCCTAGTCGCTACTCACCAAAGTAGGATGTAGGACAATGTTTTTGTATAGTATGTTATGCCATTTGAGCTTGATGTCCCCTGTGACCAGGAAGGACCATGTCTTGAGAGCTCCCTGGCCTGACAGCCTCTGGGGTTCGAGGAAGTCATACCCTCCATCCTAAACCCTAAACATGCAGAGATAGCCAAGAGTTTGGGTGTGTGTTCAAGAGGAAAACCACAAGCCCCCAGTGCAGAGCCTGCCCTCAACGGCCCCCACAAGCATGTCTGGGACAGCAGTAAGCCGTGCAGGCCCAGGGCCATGGGGCCTAAGGTGCAGGGGCTGAGGGAGAATGCAGTTGGTTTTGGGGGACAAAGGCCTCGAGTAGCTTCCTGAAGGGTGAAGTCCACCTCTGGCCCCACTCCCCATGGTCATCCAGGCTCTGTCCAGTCCATTCTAGTGCTTGAGAAGCTCCTCCAGCCCCTCCCCCAGGCACCCTCCCAGATGCCAATGGGCAGGATCTCCCAGGACCCTGCTCCATCTGTAGCTGGCACCACCGGCCCTCCCACAGAGAGTGCGTGTTCATTTCTGAGGGCAGTGGCCGCTGAACACCCTGAGCTTCGAGAGCCACCTGTGGGCCGGCTGCCTCAACATCTCAGGCACCTGTGTTGTGGGGGCGGCTCCAGCACCACACACCAGGTCTTCTGGTCTCACAGTCATATAGGCTGAGGATGCATCATGAACATCTCTCTCACTGTGGCTGGGCTAATAGTTTTATGGCTTTTTAAGTGGTCTGGGTGTGGCCCAGGAATCAGCTCCTGGTCATGCCCAGGGCCCAAGACTCCTGTCTGGAGCCTTATCAGGGACTGGAGTGAGTGAGTGAGTGAGTGCGCTGATTTGCACTCAACGTGAACACATTTCCACGCCATTTTCTTGGGTGCAACTAGCTTGCTTGTTTTATTTCCCCTCGGTATCAAACGGCACGTTTAATTTTACTCATGACATTGTGGTCAGGAACTTGGGGAGGGCGCAGCCAGGCTTGGGGGTCTCACACAGCCGCATGGATGGTCCCTGGGTGCTATGGGGTGGATGCCCACATGTCCCTGCAGAGGGCTGCAGGCTGATGCGGACTGTCCTGAGGCCGGGCTGCCAGCCGGCTCACATTCACGTTGCCTCCCCAGCACAATGTGCAGCCAGGTGGCTTCCCCACACAGTGGCCGGCTTCCCCAGGGGAGCACCCTGAAAGAACCAGCGAGCTGTGTGAACTTTTGCTCCCTCGCACGTTTTTATTGAGGGGAAACGGACACAACATAAAATCAACTGTTGAGAGTCAACAATTGAGTGGCATTCGGTCCATTCACGGTTGTGTTGGGTGTTGAGTACACTCACAACAGCTGTCCCAAAGCTGTGAAAGGGAACCCAGACTCGTTTCGCAGCACCCCGTCCTTGGCGACCACGTGTCTACTTTGTCTGGGTGGGGTCACCTATAATGGCTGTAAATGGAGCACGTGACTCCTTAGGTCGCACTTCTCCCACTCAGCAAGTTTCCAGGTGTGCGCACACTCGAGGCCCGCATCAGACTTCGTTCTTGTGGCTGAATAGTGTGGTGATTTGCTCCATGTGGCCCTACTGGCCGCAGTCCTCCGCTTTGTGAGGTACTGAAAGTTCCAGCCTCTGTGCTTGCGGTTACGGCCCCATTTTGAGTTGTCTGTTATATTGATGTGGGACGTTCCCTGAGTCCTGCCTTAGTTTCTTTGCGGGTCTATATGTGAATGTTCTGGCAAAATTCTCTCTTGCTCTGGATCCTGCATCTGGTTCTTCCAAATCCTGGGACTCAAGACAGAAGCCAGTCATCTGACCTGCCAGTTGGGGTCCGTCAGCCCCTGCAAATACGTGAGTGGAGAGAATCCTCCAGCCCAAGGCCTAACCCACAGATTTGGGACTTGCCAGCGTCCAGCACCTTGTGAGCCGTTTCCTTGGCAGGTCGTAAATTCTATGAGATGTTACAGTGAAACATGGAGCCCTAAGACAGGAGGGAGAGCACTGAAGGCAGGAGGAGTGGTTGATGTGAGATGATGAGCAGTACAGCAGTTTGGAAAAGTTGGACATTTGGGACGTCTATAACCTCCGCCTCATAGGCAGGCTTGTGCTGATCCTTCTAAAAGAAATTATTCAAGCAGTTGGTGTCAGAATGGTGGGGTGTGTTGCAACAGCCCAGACTCACTGGAATATGTGGTTTTGGGAAGAAAATAAATGGGAGAATGAGAAACCTTTGGTTTCTGGATGGGATTAAACAAACAAGCAAACAAACACAAACACCCATGGGTTGAAGCAGCTGCTGTGTTGCAATCAGTTACCAAAAGCAACAGCTCTTCATGAGATTTGGGAGTCGTGGCTCTAACACCTGAGGAATCAGCTAGTTGGATGCATGTGGAAATAGAATGATAAGGAAAGAACCAGACTTACAGTGCCTTGGTTGCTGTTATCACGAATAGCTGCAATGGCAGGAAAAATAATGTAAGGGCAGGTTGTAGCACTGAACCCGGCTCAGACCCAATCTGACCAGAGCTATGACCACTAGTCTCAGGACCCACCCAGAAAGGAAAAACTGTGTTGGAACAACAGGCAGTACCCTCACGACTTCTGGTCACCAGGAAGGTAGTCCAGGAAGGGAACAGGCAAAGCCAAGAAACTATTGAAAGCAGGGGGTATAGTGTAAAAGATCTGCTTCAGTTTGTAGATCGGTGTCGTCAGCTTCCTGGAGAATCTTTACTAAAATAGATTGTGAGAGTGACTAATTTAGGAACGGCGTCTTTAGTTTTGAATACTGCAGAGTGGAAGAGTGTGTTTGGGTTGATGCAAGACCCACAACTTACTATGCAACAGGCACAAATGTTGATCCGAGATCCACTTACAGGGCACGTTAACCCAGAGAGGACAGCCAGTCTGTTGGACTGGATGACATGTGCAGTCAGGTTTGTGTATCCTGAGAAGGGAAACTGCCCCTCTGCCCCTCTGAGTACCCTGGAACACTCCAGAGGAAGCAGCTAATGTGCTGCTTATGCAAGCCATGCTGAAATGGTTTTCTGGTGATAAGGGTGTTCACCCAATGAGTATGCCCCTTACACAGGTCATGGCAGATATGGTAATCAAGAGAGCTCCTTCTACATGGGCACCCCATGTAACCATGCTACTGCAAAACCATTCAACAATCCGAGAAGCCGTATCAGGTCTATTAGCACAACTTCCCCACATGGGTCTTATAGATACAAGAAACTTAAGGGTGATTAGAAGAGTTTGAAGAGGCAACAGCAAGTCAGGGATTTTTCAATGCTTACTAAGGAATGGGATGAAAGTAGCAGACATTGGTGGAGTGGAGGGAAATGTGCTAATGTAGCACTACAGGAGGTTGGGTGGACCGGAAACTCCTGCTGGTCCCCTGACATTAAAGAGGACTAAACAAGTCCATTCTATTCA